AAGTGGAAGTTCGTTGGAAAGATCACAGAGGTCAACAAGGAGCCAATCCAGACCGCTATTGAGAACGGCTATCTGCCCATCCTTACTTCCATGGCCGAGACGAAGGAGGGTCAGGTCTTGAATGTCAATGCCGATGTCGCAGCCGGAGAGCTGGCTCGCGAATTCGAGCCGTTGAAGGTCGTTTACCTCAGTGAGAAGGGCGGCTTATTTGACGGTAACGTGCAGAAGATCTCTGCCATTAATCTTGACGAGGAATATGAGCACATCATGTCGCAACCATGGTGCAAGTTTGGAACGCGGTTAAAGATTCGGGAAATCAAGGAACTCCTGGATACTCTTCCGCGCTCGACAAGTGTGGCTATCATCCACCCTGCCGACCTGCAGAAGGAATTATTCACAGATTCCGGAGCTGGTACTCTCATCCGCCGCGGAGACAAGTTGATGACCGCTGAGAGCGTCGCGGACTTTAGCGATCTCGCAAAGTTGAAGGACGTGCTCGTCCGAGACCGCGAGGTCCGGGATGCCAGGGCTACGGTAGACCGCTATCTGGACTTCTTACAGGGACGTAAATTCAAGGCCTATTTCGATGAGCCTATGAAGGCTCTAGCCGTCGTCCTCGACCCCGCTCCAGACCAGACCTACGCGACATTGGCAACCTTGACGATAACAAAGTCTGGCTGGCTGACGAACGTGGCTGACAACATATTCGCTGCTATAAAGAAGGAATACCCTAGCTTGGTCTGGACTGTGAAGGCCGATGACGAGAACCTAACCTGGTTCTTTGATAAGGCCGATGGTAGCATCGTCAGGGGTAACGATGTCATGTTTTGGTACGGAATTGAGCCTGGAGAGGAGCTGAACAAGCTCATGAGGGAATTCACCCTCCACGGCCGAGCCATGCTTGGTGATTCTAATTTGGAGTCAAGGCTCCACCGAGCAGCCCAGATTGCTTCTGAGAATCTACGAGCGCACTTTGCCTCCGGCTCCGTCGCCAACCAGGCGCGAGGCTATTCGACCCTTGCCCGTCGTTCTATACTAGGAGCTGCCGCTCAGAGTGCTTTCTCCCGCGGCTCGCGCAGAGGTTTCGCTACCGAAACTAACCCCAATCCCCCGTACGGTAAAAAGCATGCCTCGAACACACAGCCCTCCAGGGTTGCGTTGATTGGCGCCCGAGGCTACACTGGGCAGTGTCTCATCGGTCTCCTTAACACACATCCTAACTTTGAGCTTAAGCACGTGTCATCACGAGAACTAGCCGGGCAGAAGTTGGAAGGCTATACTAAGAAGGAAATCATCTACGAGAACTTGAGCGCCGACGACGTTTACGAGATGGAGAAGAAGGGCAAAATCGACGTGTGGGTCATGGCGCTACCAAACGGCGTCTGCAAGCCGTTCGTTGACAGCATCAACAAGGCCAAGGCGGAGTCTTCCAGAGAAGACAGCAGCGTGATTGTGGACCTTTCGGCTGATTACCGATTTGACAAGTCTTGGACTTATGGTCTTCCGGAGTTGGTCAAGCGATCGCAGATTGCCCAAGCGACCTACATCTCGAACCCTGGCTGCTACGCCACGGCCGCACAGCTCGGCATTGCGCCGCTGGTGGAGCACATCGGTGGTCAGCCTACAGTTTTCGGCGTCTCTGGCTACTCAGGAGCCGGTACTAAGCCTTCGCCGAAGAACAACGTCGAGCTTCTGACCAACAACATCATTCCTTATAGCTTGACGGATCACATCCACGAGAGGGAAATAAGCTCTCAGCTTGGCATTGACGTCGGGTTTATCCCCCACGTCGCAGTATGGTTCCAGGGCATTCATCACACAATTAACATTCCTCTGAACAAGACGATGACTTCGCGTGATATCCGACAGATGTACCAAGATAGGTACGCGGGCGAGAAGCTGGTCAAGGTGGTGGGAGAAGCTCCTTTGGTAAAGGCGATAAGCGGGCAGCACGGCGTTGAGATCGGCGGGTTTGCTGTTCACAGTTCTGGAAAGCGCGTGGTCATCTGCGTGACGATTGACAACCTGCTTAAAGGTAGCAGTACACAATGTTTACGTGAGTTCCCGTCCATGCCCACAAGTAATTCAAGTGCTTTAATCTTGAGCCATACTAACGAAATGACTTCTAATAGAAAACATGAACTTGGCTCGCGGCTATGCGGAGTTCGAAGGTATACCTCCAATGAATTAGAAAGGGGACGTTCACTCAGGAATTTCATGTTCGGGATATGATGGTCGGGTGATTTTAAAAACATGTATATACTCGGAGATAGGCGAGCTATCAAGACGCACTATAAAGGATGTCTGTGAAATCATTTTCGATTTGGATGTGTAGGGGATATTCTCCAGCTTGGTGCGATAATAGGTGTCGTCCTAGAGGTGTGTCAGCTGTCGACTTCGAGTCTAAGGAACTTGAATAGGTATGGTAGTATATACATCCTACTCGGCCGAACACATGAAACAGAATCTAGGTTAATAACTTTTATGATGTGATTCAAAGTCGTTCGTGGATATATATATACATATCTTATATGGAAACTTACAGGTCTCGGGTTCTGTCAAGAAGCAAACGGCAGACGCCGTCATTCTAAAGACGCCGTTTGAAAGGTTAGATATGGCGCCAACTCAGACACCGAATAGTCTTATTTCCATCCACAGTTGATGCTAGTACACTTAGGAGGTAGTATAACCTGGTGGGGCAAGGTTTAGAACCCCTGAAGGGCCTGTTCCGATGGCGGATGGCGGGGTTCGTTGGCGGGGCAAATTTTTGATCTCTGGCAGCAGACACCCGATACTGGCATGACGGACAGCTCCTGCTTCTGTGTGAATCTTGTATAAATCCTTGACGGGGCCAACTTGACTCAACTTTTAGGTTTTTAGAAGAGTCAAAGAGTCAACGGGCGGATACTCGCGGATTAACCTGTTCTTTTAAGGACCTACATAGCCAATTGACACCAAGACCACTATGGCTTCCCAATTCCCTACCAAGAAGTGCGGTAAGAATGATCCCTCGAGGCCAATGCCTAGAATTACATGTCTAAGATAGATGCTGAACTCAGACGCTGTATGTAGGTGTCCTGGGCTGCACCGGCTCCGTGGGCCAACGGTTCATCCTCCTCCTGTCGCAGCACCCGCACTTCGTCCTTCACGCCGTCGGAGCTTCGTCTAGGTCGGCCGGCAAGAAATACAAGGATGCCGTGAGGTGGAAGCAGGCCTCGCCCATGGGCCCCGTGGGCGAGCTCGTCGTGCGCGAGTGCAAGGCCAGCGAGTTCGCCGACTGCGACGTCGTCTTCAGCGGGCTGGACGCCGACGTCGCCGGCGAGATCGGTACGTTCTACCCGTCTACCCTACATTCCAGCGCTTTCACTCCCCCCTTTCGAGTTCAACACGCTAATATGATGAGTCCCTATGCAGAGATGGAATTCCTCAAAGCCAACCTCGCCGTCTTCTCCAACGCGAAGAACTACCGCCGCGACCCGCTCGTGCCGCTCGTCGTGCCCACCGTCAACCTGCCGCACCTGGACCTGATCCCGCACCAGCGCCGGCACCACGGCCTGCAGAAGGGGTTCCTGGTGTGCAACTCCAACTGCGCGGTCATCGGGCTCGTGATCCCGTTCGCGGCGCTGCAGGCGCGCTTCGGCCCCGTCGACGCCGTCAGCGTCGTCACCATGCAGGCCGTCTCCGGCGCCGGCTACCCGGGCGTCAGCTCCATGGACGTGCTCGACAACGTCGTGCCCTTCATCTCGGGCGAGGAGGACAAGCTGGAGACGGAGGCGCGCAAGATCCTCGGCGGCGTCAGCGGCGACGCCACCGCCTTCGTCGAGCAGCGCGACCTCCGCGTCTCCGCCGCCTGCAACCGCGTGCCCGTGCTCGACGGCCACACGGCGTGCGTGTCGCTGCGCTTCAGGAACAGGCCGCCGCCCGCCGCCGAGGAGGTGCGGAGCGCGCTGAGGGGGTACGTCAGCGACGCGGAGAAGCTGGGGTGTCCGAGCGCGCCTAGCCCGAGCATCCAGGTCTTCGACGAGCCGGACCGGCCGCAGCCGCGACTCGACCGCGACCTGGGACGCGGGTACACGGTTAGCGTGGGCCGCGTGCGCGAGGACGAGAGCGGCATCTTTGACATCAAGTTTGTTGCGCTGAGCCACAACAGTAAGTCACCCCTTCCCCCACCCCCCTTTCCGCTCTCGGCTCTTTACCCGGGAGCGCACGTGACGGGAATAGGGCAGTTTCGCTAACTAGTTCTTCGCAGCCGTCATTGGAGCTGCCGGCTCTTCGATACTGAATGCGGAGGCGGCGGTGCTGAAGGGTTTCATCTAGGGGAAGCGAGGGTCTGGTGTCGGGACTTGACTTGCATTGGTTTACGGCGTTGGCTTTGTTTCATTTGCTTTGGGAAGACAAAATGAGGCCGGGTAATTGTAGATATCCATCAATGAAAAAGTGCCTGTGACGGGACGTAAAGTACTTGAAAACGCTTGTCTTCAGCGGCGTTATACTTACTCGTGTTTGCATCTTCCGGTATGAACAGACCTGGCCTTCAACCTTGAGATGTGTGGTTGATGATGGTTCAATTCTCGACTGCTTCAAGGGATCTGTGACCTTGGAGATACCAGAATGAAAATACCCATCTTGTCCGCGCGGTTGTGTTAGATTCATAGCTTCTAATTCTTGTAGGGTGTATTTCACCGGACATTGGTTACGTCCTTAGTGATCCGCCTAGATAACTCGCCCGGGTCGCCCGTGCAGTTCTTCTCAGTTATTAGGCAGAACATGACGCGTCTACGGAAAAAGCGAGAGAGTACCTTAGGTATGTAGAGCCGCAAGCAAAGATGCACCGTTAAGTTTGGGGTACTAAAACGTTCTCGTAGAGGGTCCATACATCCTCCAGACGGAAACAGGGGCGTGAAGAACAGCCATATAGACTTTAGATAAGACTAACCTGTATCAACCAATCAGCGTGAGGCACGCAAGAAAAGGGGTTACCCCTTTTGTATACGGAAAACGGCTTGGTGGTCTAGTGGTATGATTCGCGCTTAGGGAAAACCCTGTGGCATATATATGCGCGAGGTCCCGGGTTCGATCCCCGGCCAAGCCCTTCCCTTTTGATTTTTGGGTATTCTGTGGTAGGTAAACGTGGTGGTCTTTGAAGCTCTACGTTGTGGCTGTCTCTGCTGTTGACTTTCGGCTCCTATTTGTGTCCGTTGTATGTTTGAGCTGCACTGCGATCTGCCGTCTTCGTATATAGAGCCCCGTCGAATCTGGGTTCCGGTTAGGTTATTTAGGTTTGACTCTTCTCTCTTCGTGTCGGGGGTAAAGAAAATAGTCTTGTCCAGTTAAGAAACTACACTAGTTCTGACATTGTCTTTGAATCATGTTGCTTTTGCTGAGTGTTAACTCGAAGCGCTGTGTCCTCACGTACGTGCGACAGATGTGTAATAATCGTAATTACATCCATGTGAGGATAGCTTCATTCGGCTACTTAAAGGAGAAGAAAGGTGGGAGGTTGGGGTTAAGACCCTCAATAGCGTAACCTATATGAGTCTAATTAAGGATAATCGTAGAGCATGCGGATACAATAGAGACCAGGTTAGGTAGGTATTTTGCAACTACATCACTTTGCGTTGTTGTAGAAAAGAGGCCGCCAAGTCAGGAGAGGTCGCCAAGTTAGGCTCACTTGCATCGAGATCATGGTGAGGAACTGGTGGGTAAAAGCCGCTTTGAAATCTTTCTCATGTCTCGTCTCATTATTAACCTTTTACCCCCAACCCTCGATGCAAACAAAGTCTTTATTTCCGCCTACTCTTCTAATCCATAGCACAGGGACTGAGCGAGTCCAGGCAAATTCTAAAGCGATCACCCATCCGAGACGGCCAAGACGCCAGGCGAGATATCCGCAACAAGAAACGACGAGAGTAGTGAAGCTGCCGCCGGGAGTACAACCCAAGAGCGAAGTCGCTGTGAGCTAGAACACGAAACCGATGGAACATTTTCGAGTTCCGGTTACTAATATCAGACGACGCAGCTGATACCAGCCCAACGAAGCAACAAACGAGAACCGAGCACAAGAAAGCCAGCTTCTACGCGGGTGCCACACGACGATCGCGCCGACGCTGATTTAAATACCAACAGAGTCGAACGGTAATAGGTAGGTAGGCCCGCGACTAATGCAGAGGTCCTTGATGTAGACCCAACTAACAAACGACGTACCAGTTCCTACAAGACCACATCTGCCTACTTATGCTAATAACCTACCTACCCAGTCTCGGCATACACTAATTCCCCTAGTTGAAATAATAACGTCCCATATCTTACGCCCAATAGCCTAAGACAGCTAGCTACATAGACCAAGCTTGCCCAGCCAGTCCGCCCAAGGTGGGTGTTGAGTTGAAGGAAGAAGGTAGCTAAGACATGAAAAGCGAGCAGACAAGTGAAAAATACCTAGGTAAGCCACCTCTTATCCCAGCCGTGCCAATACAAGCGCCCTCAAAAGTTTCATCCCCTAAGCAAGAAGGGCATATATCCAAGACGAAGCGTACAAACCATAAAAAACATCAACACTCAAACCCCAATCCTGGATCCGAACACCTACGTCTCCTAATATATACCTATCACCAAGACAGCACCACAAAACGCCCAAGCGCGGACACAAAAGAACACAACACCACATAAAGCATTTCAGTGCATTGCTCTCTCTCTCTCTCCTCCCTATTCTTACTCTACACATCACATGGCTACACTACACTACTCTCCTAGAGCACTCTCTCCCGTTCTCGCCATCTCCCCCTCTCTTTCTCTATACATCCCACGCCATCTCCCACCAAGCCCCCAAGCAAACAATAATGCAAACACAAGCAAAAGCACAATGGACCCAACCAATCAACCAGCCAACCAGCCAACCAGCCGCCCCAGCCCAAGCCATCCATGCCCGAACCCCCAGCGGCGGCGGCCGCCCAAAAAGCGCCCCTGAATGCATCGTTCGTTCCTGCGCTAGGTATCAAATCGCGACGTGCCGCTCCGGCAAGAACTTTCAAAAGACTGCTAGCAAAAATGCGTCCGTGATGATCGTGAAATACCGTAAAGCGCTCCCAAGATGTGTGTATGAGTACGACTATGAGCAAGAGAGAAATGCAGATGGAAAACCTAAAAGAAAAGGAAAATATGTAAAAGTGAAGGCCGGTGTGGATGCTCCCTCGGAGCTCCTCATAGCGTATGCAATATGCATCCGCTGCGACAAAAGGGAAAAAGGCAGAAAAGGGACGATTCTAGACGCTAAGATGAAAACATCGAGAGATACTCGTGATGCTTCCCCATATCGATCCAAATCCATTATATTAGCAATGAGAACTTATAAGTTTTCTCTGCCTGTTGCTTTCGTTCCGCCCCGCAAAATCATTTTATTTAATCTTCCTAGCGTCGAATAGCGTCAAGCTTAAGCTCGTGTCGTTCTCGCCCACGTTGGGGGTGGGTTCGTTGAGGATTTCCCACCTCCGGAAGATGAAAGGGCTTAACCGTTCGGGTATCATGCCAATTCCCATTCCTATGCCCATCATCGCCCTCCTGTCGTTGATCCCTTGAGCTGGCTTCTCGCGGTGGGCCAGCATCAAGTCCTCCGCTGGGTTTGGAGCGAAGCTGAACAGGTATCTGAGCCTAGGATCGGCGGTGACGTCTTTCACCGCGCGCACGCACTGCAGGCGTGTTTCTTCGGGTAAGCTGTCGACCAGCGCGAGAGCGATATCGAAAGCCTGTTTTCCAAGATTAGAGGTCGGGTGGTTGTCGAGTTCCTGGACGAGGCCAGCTAGAGCGATCAAAGCGCGGCCGCGAATTTCACCGCCAGGCAATTTCGACATGTCTATCGCGCTCGCAGACGGAGAAGTGTAGAGAGTCAGGTAAGAAAAGAGAAGAGGTAGCCAGTGTGAGAGTACAGCGCTTCTGAGCGATGCGTACTCGTCGGCTCTCGAGGTCAGTATATCCCATAGGTCGGCAAGCTTGTCTACCAAAGCGCTAGACAGTGGAGACACCTTTGACCCCGAGCCTCCGCGGAATATGGAATCGATAACCGTCAAGAGATTCTCGGCCATATGAATACCCTTGTTAAACAGCGCATCATTAGGGGGATTCTTCAGAGACGGAATGATGTCTAGGAAGCGTGACTCCGCTCGATTTCTCATATGCTGCGTGATTTCAGTGCTTAGGGAGGGAAGCATGCCTGTCCACATGATGTTATTTGCGTCAATGGCGTTGTCGAGCGCTTTGGATAGCTGCTCAAACTGGGATTGTAGCTTCTCTGACGCCTCGGGGCCGCCCGACTCGTCGATTGCTAGGTTAAGGGAGAGCTTGACCTGGCAAAAAGGCAACGTGAATTCGTTTGCCAATTCCAAAACTTGCTCAAAGGACTTCTGCCCTCCACCGCCGTTGGGAACTAGCAACCTTGTAGTCCAAGTCTCCATGAGCGCCGCTAGTTTCGGATCAGGACTCTTCAGTGAGACAGTTTGACTGGCGGCATTTGGATCGGCAAGGACTAGTTCTCGAAGGAGTTCGAGAAATTGTTCCTCTGTTTGTTTGTCATCGAACGGTTGCTGGATCGCGGCTTGCTGATTGCGAGAATACTCCGCCAGTGCCCCATGGATTAGAGACATTAATTCCTTAGCATACTCGTATTTGGCGAGTTCTTGGACAATGCGGAAGCGATAGCAGTCTTCGGAGGTCATGACCGCGCTCGGACTAAATGGCATCATCAACATCTGCAATATTTCCTGCCTGTAGATAGACGCAGACCCGATGGCACTCGGTTGGACTTGGACCGTCTGATTCTGAGTTCTTGGAACAGTTGCAAATAGGATTGCCAGAGACAGACACCCCGAGCTGATAAGTGGCGGGAACAATTGAGCGATAGGCGGTCGATTTGTCAGTTTGCGAATATGCTGCACCCAACCCTTCATCAATTCGTTGAAATGATGAAGATCGAACACTCGTAGCCTCGTAAGAAGGATGCAACAGAGCCTCTGACGTTCATCCTCTTTGCCCCAGTACACCTGTAATTTCTTGATAATAGCATAGAACAAGCGTTCCATCGTCGGCCTATCGGCACTCGTGTAGCTCGCTAGCTTTTCGATTTGTTCACTTAGCTCCGACTCGGCGTCTTGAAGTTGCGTAGCCATATTGTCAGAAAGAGGAGATGAGGCATCAGCGGCGCTGCTGCGGTCTATCCGAATTAAGTCGTTTCGTAGTTGGGTTGCCACGTCTTCAAAGCCGGTCAAATGGGGGGCCAGATTCGCAAGAGAAGCAAGTAGCGGGCGAGCACCTACGCCTTGCTCTTCCAGCAGCACCTTAAGGCGCCCGTAGAACGTCTGGAACAGTGGCTTGGCCGCTCCAGTTGCGCTGAATACCGGTAGATGGAGATTGACCGTGTCGACGCAACACGCAAGAAGTTCGGCATTAGAAGATGCCGCCGTGAGCTTCAAGACGGTCTCGAGCATAGTAAAATCTTGAGCAGCTTCGAGCAGCGTCCGAACCGTCTCAAATGCAGTTTTAGGGAGTTCGACGCCACCTTTGCCTGACTGCATAGTTTGCGTAAAGCCGGTAACGAAATTGTTGCTGAGCCACGAGGAGATGGCCGTCTTGAGAGAGCGGCTGCTCAACTCAATCCGCTTTGTCAGCTTCTTTAGGCTCAGGGGTTTCCTATGCAGCAAGGGATCATGAGGCTCCAATGGCACGGAGAGCGCGTTCTTAACACAGCTTATTGCCATTGCCATATCCCTCGCCTCATCCTCGACTGAGAAAGATGCCCTTCTCAGTAGGGTCGCTCTTAAATTCTTCATTGACTCGTTTAGCAAGTCGAGCGGGATCTCGACGAGAAGTCTAGTAGCACACGGCCCTTCCCGTGCCGTTTCAACCGGACTGCTGAGACCACCGCGAGCTATGAGCCACTGCATATACTGAGGAATCGAGAAATGGCCCGATCGAGCGAGCTCTGAGACGAGATGGTATACAAGTTGTTTTCGAGCGGTCTCTTGAAGTGGGTCGGCATCCAAGAAGTCCAAAACTGCCCTAGTGACATCGACATCCAGCTCAGAAGACGAACACAGGAGCGAGGCG